ATCTGGTATTTCCTCCTAAGAGGCAGGAGATACCTCTCTCTCTCTGCTCACTCCCTGGGAGACATTGCAGCTGACAAGATACATGGAACTACACTAGTCCCCTGAGCTGGAGAAGCCAATGGACCTACCCTGATGCAACCAGACCTTTGAAGCAGAGAAACCACGGAGAGAGCCCTGCCAGTGCTGAGATGCTTACACCACCACTGGATCCAAAACCTTTCTACCCACTGGCATGTGATCGTTCTGCATTTGGCGTCATTGTATGTGGTTCATGAGTCTGAAGGGGATAGATGGGCTAATATTGGATTTATGGCCTTGAACTGGACTGGGTTGGGATACTTCCTTTTCAAAAAAATTCATTTATTTGGGGCTTGTAAAATTCTTATCACAATCCATACATAACATCTATTGTGTCAAGCACATTTGTACCTTTTTTGCCATCATCATTCTCTAAACATTTTCTTTCTACTTGAGACCTTGGTATCAGCTCATTTTTCCCCTCCCTCCTCTAGCCTCCCTCCCTCACAAATTTGATAATTTATAATTATTATCAATTGATAATTTATAAATTATTATTATTTTGTCATGTTTTACACTGCCTGATGTCTCCCTTCAGCCACTTTTCTGTTGTCCGTCCCTCAGGGAAAGGGTTATATGAAGATCATTGTGATCAGTTCCCCCATCTCCCTCACCTTCCCCTTACTCCTGTGATATCGCTACTCTCATTATTGGTCCTGAGGGACTTATCTGTCCTGGATTCCCTGTGTTTCCAGCTCTTATCTGTACCAGTGTACATCCTCTGGTCTAGTTGGATTTTTAAGGTAGAATGGGGATCATGATAGTGGGGTGTAGGGGGAGGAAGCATCAGAGAACTAGAGGAAAGTTGTAGGTTTCATTCATGCTACACTGAACCCTGACTGACTCGTCTCCTCCCCGCGACCCTTCTGTAAGGAGATGGCTAGTTGCCTACAGATGGGGTTTGTGTCTCCACTCCACACTCCCCCTGGTTCACAACGATATTACTTTTTGTTCTGGATCTTTGATGCCTGATATCTGATCCCATTGACACCGCGTGATCACTCAGGCTGGTGTGTTTCTTCCATGTGGGCTTTGTTGCTTCTCAGCTAGATGGCCGCTTGTTTATGTTCAAGCCTTTAGGACCCCAGACGCTATATCTTTTGATGACCAGGCACAATCAGCTTTCTTTACCGCATTTACTATGCACCTGCTTTGTGTTCAATGATCGTGTCTGGAGGGTGAGAATTATGGAATGCCAGTTTAATAGAACAAAGTGTTCTTGCATTGATGGAGTACTTGAGTAGAGGCCCAATGTCCATCTGCTACCTTAATACTTTCTTAATGTACAATTACCTTTTATATAAAACGCTCTCTTATACACATGAGTTTCTATGGATTTGTTTCTCTAGCCTATAGCTTTCTACAAACCAGGTGTTCACAATTTATGCTCTGATGCCATTGCCCCCATTATATTTTAATTTATAGGAGCTGAATAATACACAATGGAAAAATAAGCCACAATGGCTAGTACAGTGGAATGCTGGAGAAAGAGTTGTGAAATATTTATGGGGTACAATCATTAGGAAAAGATTGGGTGGTATAAATGTATGGAGGTGAACAGGGATGATAAACTCAAAATCAAACATACTGCCATTGAATTTATTCTGATATATATATAGTCTTGAAAATGCACAAGGGCCATTCTACTCTGTCCTATAGGATTGGAATGAGCAAGATAAAAGTATGGAAATAGACTATTTTGGTTTGGAGATATTCAAATACAGCCAAGGTCAGGTACTACAGTAGATGTCCACATTGAAGGTATAGATTGCTGGTCTTCTCCATCTGGAAAGGGTGAAGGAAACCACCAGAGCAGTGGGATGGGATCTTGAAACTTCTTGCAGCCCCCAGGTTGCTGTTGATTTGGGACATTTCTGTCTGTTCTCCTGCTCAATCTATCTATCTAGTCATTTGCATAAGTCATGTTCTTTCCAATTTCAGTGACTTTATACTTGCTGTTCTTCCTTCTGGACCACATTGCCCCTTATTCACATTGTGGCTCCTTCTTTTTCACTGGGGCTAATCTGGTCACACTGTGAAGAATAATTTCTTCCTTGCTTCTCTCTTACACTCTTGTTTCTGCCGTAGCATTCCCATAGTTTGTAGATTCTTTATTTGTCCTTTTATCCACCACCACGACATAGACTCGGTGAAGTAGAAATCATGTCTATCTTATCCATCGTTGAATCACCAGCAACAAGGAAGAGTTTAGGGCACAGGTCATGTCCTTACTAGGTATTTTTGAAATAGTGAATGAACAAAACAATGATTTTGATTCCCTGAGAGATCATAATCTGATCCAACACGGTTTCACTCTCTCTGCCATACCTCCATCAATATGTTCCCTTTGCCTTAGTTCATTCTAAACATTCCAGAAGTTTACAACATTTTTCTATGTCTCTTGTTTTCACTGCTTGAGATGTCCTTAACTGGTTACCTATTTAGGGAATTATTTTGAGCACAAAAGCAAGCTAAATTGGCATTGTATCACAGAAGTTTAGATGTTTCTTTTCTGAAGATGGTTTCTCTACACTCACCACATGTACTGTAATAGCTTACCCATCTGATTGTGCTGTAGTTGGGAGGCTCCTCAAATAGAGGGAACACACATCATTGGAGTTCATTTCCTCATTCCTTAACCTAGTGCTTAGTACATGCCATTTATTTTATAAATATTTGTTGAATTATGACTAAAAGGGTGTATTAGAAGCAAGAGGACCTAGAAACATACCAAATGAGTTATGTGACCTTGAATAAGTCACTTTCCCTACTTTTAGTCATGACAACATTCAAATGAGATGCATGTAAAGCATTTAGTAGATATTCCTAGACATGAGAAACATTTTCTCAATGTTAGGTCCTGACCATGCCTGGTCTGGTCCTTTGTCCCCCGTGTCTATAGGTGAAGAACCATGGAAATGATGTTACGTGGTCTTTTGCTGGAAGGAATAACATGATTTCTTTGCTTCCTAATTCCAACTCTCTCTACCAAGCACACGTGGAAAACTAAGTATGCTTCTCCATCTAATAGCATAGATAAGGAAAGCTTCTTAATGCAAAACAAATTTGTGTAAAATGATTGATTGCCATGTCCTAATTCAAAGGTCCGGCCACTCAGACGTTCTCCAAAATAGTTAAGAAAAGAGCTTTTCTTAACACTGAGTACACTCTGTTTTCATACCTATTAACTGTGACTGAAGCAGGCTGCAAAATTCACAAGTTGTTTGATTTTTTTCCTTTTAATTTCTATTAAGGGAATTTCTGCCTGGTGGCAGTGTCTTGAAAAAGATTTAGACATAGGTCAGATGTCTGTTCATAATACGTCCCAAAAGCTGAAGCACTGCCTCAGTTCATTACCATACAATCTTTCAGCAGATTGACATAGGGGTAATATATTACTACTGTATCTCTACAGCCCTAGCAAATTTATTTCTTTTTTGGGAGGGTGCAAAGAGGAGGATAAGTTTGCTAAGTAGTTACTAATTCCAAAAGTTAAAATATTCTCCTTTCCTCCTCAAGGAGAGGGAAGAATAACTTAGTTTAATCAGTATCACTGTCATACAACTTTCTAAGGAGCAGGGTCTCTGGATAGTACCATGGTTCACATGCTTGGCTGCTGACTGAAAGATTGGCATTTCAAGACTATGCAGAATGACCTTGGAACAAGAGGGCAGATAATTGACTTCCTTCTGCAAAAGTAAATTGAAAACGCTAAGAGAGCCCAGTTCTACTCTCAGACACATGGGTTCACCAGGAACCAGAATCAAGTCAATTACAAATAGTATGGCTTGCTATTTAAGGAGCCATGTGGACCTATTCTAGTTTTAAAATATTTTCTGCTTTCTTTTCAATAGGGGTTATTCTCTGTTTTATTTGGTCATTGTCACTGGGTCCTCTTTTTGTTCTTTGTCTTTGTTTTGCATTTTTTTCCTGCGCGGTATTCAGATTGGGTGAATCTATAGATAGTAACTGCATTAATAATTACCCGGGAGCATGAAAAATGAGGTTGGTGGGAAATGGGAAGTCAACAGCAATGGGTAAAAGAAAGAAAATATTCTAAAGTTGATTGTGGTGATGATTGCAAAATTCTTTTTTATATTCTTGAGCTATTGAATAGTATGCTGTGCTAGTTGTATCTCAATAAAACTCTTAAAGAAAAGAAACACGGATGTTTCCTATAGCGAAGATCTTCAAGGCAGGCCTACTGCTAGTTCCCATTTGTCTTGCTCTGTCCATAGCCAATGAAAACCCTTGGTTTATACCTAGTCAAGGAGGCATTTGAGTAAGATAGAATAACATTTGAGGAAGCTTTTTATGAAGAACAAGAAGTGAAAATTT